ACTAAGAGACCTGGCCATACCCATCCTATCCTGGCCAGAGCAGTGCTCTTGTCCCAGGCAGTTACTGTGAGGGTGAAATCAGCTATCACTCTGATTCACCAAAGTTGCTTCACAGTACTTCACAATACTCAAGGAAGGAAGGGAGAAAGAAACCAATTTGGGAAGACAGGAGCCATCTAGTTTGCATCCTCCACCCAAGAGAATGTCAAGAGATCTAGAGCATATCATACTGATTCCTCCCACTCTTACTTGTTTAAGGCAGGATTTACAGGCTTGTTGTGATATGAAGAGTGTGTGTGTGTGTGTGGTGGGGGAAGGCGAGGGGTTGTATGTGTGTCTATCCAGAAACACTGGTGTGTATGAGCCTCCACGGTTCACAATAGGGAGGGAATGCCTCAGTTCTATCTACATCACGAGTGTGGCTGCTCCACAAAGGAAAGGCTTATTCATGCCAACGTGGTAGATTACACAGAGGGCTGAAAACCTGTGTGCTCTTGAGACAAGGCAGCTTGTGCAGTTGTGGCAAGAAAAAAAAGTATCCCTCATAGCCAAAACCACAAAGCCAACTTGTGTTCAGCAAGACTGCTATTATTCATCCTCTGAAGTACTAAAGAATAAGTAAATGCACTAAGCCACACCTTGAAAAGTCATGGCAGAGTGGCAAGCCACAGCTTGATGGAAGCATTACAAAAGAGAGCGAGAATCACGTGTGCTAATCTCAATCACCCCACCTCACGACTGAGGACTTTCCATATTCCTCCAGCAGCAACCGCTTCAAAAATCCCACTTTCCCTAATAAAACCTTCCTAACAAAAAACCTCATAAACCATACGCTTAAAATAAGCATACATTCATTCTTAAGCATGCTGCTTGCTGCATGTGTGTGTGTGTCTTTGTATATGCATGGGCTTTGATGTATTTATCCCTATTACTCTTTTCACTTTAGATGTTAAGTCCTAGAAGACAGAGACCATATCTAACTTATTTTACATTCTCCCAGAATCTAACCACAAGCCTCATGAGGTTGCAATAATAAGCCTTATTTACTGCTGACACTAAATAGCTTTCAAAAGAAATTCATGGGAAACCATGTTTTCAAATGGGAGCCTTTCTGAAAGGGTCATAATCCACCTTAATTCCAACGTGTACATATTCAATATTATTATGTACAGAGTCCCAAATGCATCACCAAAACTAACTTGCCTGTCTATAACCAGAAACAAAAAAGGGAAAACATTCTCAGAAGCCCACGAGATAACTATTAAAAGCCATACCCACCTCTTAAGGTTCATGTTTAAAATCATCCCAGGCTGCTATCAACATGGAGCCTAACACACATCTAAACATCATTGCTATCTTGATTTCAAACACAACTTCATCTTATAACCGGGAATTTAGTTTTTCTTTGCCTTTAAACCAAAGCGACACCTCATGATAGAACTATTTCATAGTTGCCAAGACACTAAAGTTATAGGAGTCTCTTTTCCAGGGTAAAGAGCCCTAGTATTACAAAGCCCTGTACTGAAAAGGGATTAATGGGTTCACCGTGTAGTTGGAGTCCCCATCATATTTCTTCTTCGAGGCTGTACTTCCAACAAGGAGACAAACACCTCAGTGCCAGCAATCTGCTAGGACGCTTTCTTAGACATAAGTGCTCCTGAAGGGCACATGTGCTGGCACACAGCATGTACTCAGCTTATAGACAATCAAACCAACTAATCACATACGAAGACTCACTCATATTGTATAAACAATCAAATATCAGCTGTAAAATGTATAACCATTATTCAAATATTCATGACTATACCAAAACTATAAGGTAGATATCAAGAAGGCAGTCAGCCCCATAGAGAAATGTAGGTTTTCTGATAACATGGAAGATGGTTCTATTTTCTACCAGCTACTGATGCCTGGTAACCAGCCAGCATCTCAGGTAGGAATAGCAACTCAGAAGAAAAGAAAGGCAAGTGTCACCTGATGCTCCAGGGCTCATGTGCCAAGCCCTGCCACAGCAGATCCTTCTGAGAACTCCCCAGGCACACAACTGTCATAAGGGACCACAGGACCACTCCTCTTTGCTGGGCTCAGCTTTGCCTTAGTGAAAAAGCAGTCAGGAGTAAAAAGGCATCTACTTTCCAAAGTTATACATTGAATTAGGGGGACAAAAATGGAACAAATGTGTTTGCTGAATTCTGAGTACACACCAGCTGCACTGGAAATCACTTCATAGCTGAGAACCATGGGAGGGTGAGAAGCATTTCTGACATCACCTAGAATTACCAAGGCAGAAAATAACTTTTGTTTTTTGAGATGGAGTCTCGCTCTGTTGTCCAGGCTGGAGTGCAACGGCATGATTTCAGCCCACTACAAGCTCTGCTTCCTGGGTTCACGCCATTCTCCTGCCTCAGCCTTGCAAGTAGCTGGGACTACAGGCACCTGACACCACACCTGGCTAATGTTTTTGGTATTTTTAGTAGAGATAGGGTTTCACCATGTTGCCCAGGCTGGTCTCGAACTCCTGACCTCAGGTGATCCACCCACCTCGGCCTCTCAAAGTGCTGGGATTACAGGTGTGAGCCACTGCGTCCGGCCAGAAAGTAACTTTTATACACAGCTGCTTATGTTATAGAGAGAGAAACGGAGGAGCGGAAGGATAAAGAGACACATCCACGTCCCACTACAAGTCAGTGACTGAGCCAGGACTGAACTCCACAGCTCATCAATTCCCAGATTTGTGATCTTTCCTCTATGCCACACTGCCACTAAGAGCTAAACACACACACTATAATACACAAAAATCTCACACAGTACACGTGAACCTATCAATTACAGAAACCCAAGTATTGATCTTATTTCTAATAGTTGTCACAGGGCTTAGTTTATACCAATGTCACCTCCTCTAAAACAAACTAATATTTAAGGAGCAAAGCTACACAGACAGTATTAAAGCCTGGGAAAGACTCTTGAGGCTCCTCTAAAAAGCAAAACCTCATCTAAACATGACAATTTATAAAGCAACTTATTCTATCCTAGTTCCCGCAATGCTGGTTAAAGAACGAAATACAAGGACATATTCATTAAGTGTAGGTCATTGAATGCAAGGGAAAACCAAATCATAAGATCAGTTAACTGGGGCACTGCATACAGGTCTCCCTCAAATGGGTAAGTGAAACTCAGTTTCTCATGGTTTGTAAAAGCAAAGACACAGAACCTTTGTGGATGTGAAAGTTGAAATGAAATGTCTGAATTCAGAGGAAGATTAGCCATTCATTATGTCTATTTTGTGCTTCTTAATTGGCTTGTTCCATTTCTTTGAAGGAAAAAAAATGTCTTACATTTATCCCTCAGTCTATAAAAGGGGAAATAAAAACTCGTAACTCCAAAACAGATCATTGTGCTCCAGTGTCTGACCTTAGCTGACAAGTTATGGCTATCTTCTCAGTTGGCTGCCATAAAGCCTACCAGTAAAATGTCAGGTTTCCAAATGTCCCTTGCTCTTGGGGAAGGAATAAGCTAAAACAATGTGGAGACCAAATCCAATTGGCCTTGAGTTCAAATCCCCACTCCAAAACCAGATTAAGAACAGTTATAACAGTGTCGTATACTTATTTGCCACTGAACAACAATTTTTTGAACAGAAATAAAAGTATCCAAAGAGAAAATAAATTTTCAACTTAATGAAAAGATTCATCTTCGCCAATAAGAAGGTACATTTGAAAACACATATCAAATTTGTTCCCCAAAGGCACCCATCTCCCTTCTTTGGTTAGGAGATGGTTCTACTGTGTTATCTATCTGGCCACTGAAGTAAAAATTAGATGTTATAATAAAACAAGTTAGTCACCAGCATTTCTGAAACAAAAGTCCAAGAGAATTGGACATTTTCCCAATGAGAGTTTTCCCAAGGAAAAAACATCAACACACAATGGGAAACAACCCTTTGACAGAAATTCACTTTATTGTAACCACTCTCAGAATCACACGGTCCATTGTGATGAGATGCACCCTGAATATAAGGGGCTCAGACACAGCAGGGATCCACTTCCCCTGCTGTTTTCAGCAGAGTGGAAACAGCTGTCATACGACTCAACATCTGCATCCTCACCAGCACCAAGTCCTTATCATTGGAGCTCAGGACTCACCAAACTCATCTTCCTCCTAAAAGCTAACCAGAAAACAACTGTTTCTAGGCCCTCTTCACAGCTTTTTTTCTTCATTATTTGCAATTCTGGGATTTGTTGATAAAGTAACTACAGATTTTGATCTGCCGTATTCATGATTGGTCAGCAAGTGCACAAAATTCCTATCTAATCTCCCACCTGGGAGCAGGCTTTCTGGGAGGATAAAGGAAGGAGGAGGGCTTGGAACCCCACTGAAGTTGAACATATAGAACCATTCTCAGTAAAGATCCTTTATTTCTCCCACTTGTTAACACTGTTTAAATCCTATGCTGAAACTTATTATTGTCCAGAATTGAAATCTGTATTGAGGACATTTTGTTCAGTTCTTGTTCCATTTCCTACTCAAAAAAAAAAAAGAAAGAAAAAAGAAGAGAAAAAGGGCTCATCCTTATGACTTCACAAAAAAGAGAATATTATCTTACAAATTTCTGCCCATTTGAAAATGTAACTGTTTTTAAAACTTTACTTTGGAGTAAAAGCCTGTTTTTAAAATTGCACTCTAAAAGAAAAATTTTTGTGAAAAGCAGATGATTAAGAATGAAATCTTAAAATTCCTATGCCTGCCCATGCTCACAACATCATTATAAGAATTTTTTCATCCATAGAGGGCATCCCCAGAACAGAGGTCACTACTCTATTTAATGATTCTCTGTTAGAGAAAAACTGATGTGGTTAGTAAGGCATGTGGAACTTAACCTCAATTACATCAGAGTCTAATGGTTTCACAAATACAATTCTTAGTGAACTGTCAATCTATTAAGGAAAAAATATGGAGACTATCAGAAGGTGTCTACCAGAATGGAAGATCAAATTACCCACCTTGTGCAGAGGGAGGACAAGGAACGCTCCTCCCCCACTTGCTTCTATGATTATGGCAACAAATCTGGGATTGACAGCACAAAAGGAACTATCCCAGGTCACACGAGAAACCCGGATGTCATCATAGCACTGGTCATTTTTCACCGCTTGCCCAAATACATGCCGAAACTTGCTCTGTCGTACCACTCGCCTCATTGTGTCTGCAAAGGAAGAGTGAGAATTATGTTAGAATTGTGCACCAAACTGAAAAGCTTTACTTTTACAAATGAAACGTTCCAAGTAGGAAAAACAGAATGGCATGGCATTTTGTCTGCTCTCCTAAAAAGTAGCCAAATTGCAATCCAAATTTCTTTTAGCAGCACATATCTGGAAACAACTGCAAAATGCGTCAGGGAAAGAATTACAAAGAAATGAAACATTCCTAATTCAAGATCCAGAAACAGCTCATCAGTTTTAATTTCAATGGAAAGATTAAGGGAAAGAATTAAAAAAATTAGCCTTTCAGGGTTGGGTGGGAGCTGACAAATAATGCACTTCAACCTTTCCCCTTTTATAGATAAGAAAACTCCAAAGTGAAATTCGCTGGTAGAGGTGAGGCTGAAGAAAGCCGAAAAACAAGTTACAATTTTGTGGCTTTGTCCTCAGCCTGCCAAGGTAATTTTTCAGATTGTAAACATTTTCCCTACACATCAACACTCTGCTGTCTGAGAATTATATCTATTCCCCAGAGTGTTTCAACAAGAATAACTATGGGAGGAATTCAAAGACACAGCCATCACCCTTGACTTCAAAAGCCTTCTAATCTCCTTTTAACACAGATGTAATAATCAGAGCAACTCACTACACCAAACCGCCTAGTGCTAAGTGGTACACAGTGAGAAACAGGAAAAGTCAGCCTAAAGCAGCCTAACGGGTAAGCGCCAGGTCTGGGAAAAGCAGAGCAAAAGTATTTAAATGGAAAGCAATGTGATCAAAGTGATGTTTAGGGTGACAGCAAATGTGGCAGAAGCACACTGGACGGCTTAGACAGGAACAAGCTCAAAGCCAGGTATTGGGCTAGGAAGCTATTTGACAGTAAACCAGACTTGAGGAAGGCCTGAAGTGATACAGTAGTAACAGTTGGGACTGAGGAAAGGAAAAATGCAGGAGCTATTGTGGAGGGGAAACAAAACCAGGCTGGGTTTTCACTGAGCTGATCATCCACCACAGCCACTTCCCTAGTAAACCAGGGACTCTGAAGGGGAGGGGAGGTGACACAGAGCTAGGTTCCTAGGCTGCCTTATGTGTCATTTCAGACTCCAAATTCCACTAAATTGTCTGATAGACACTGACAGCTTTGTGCTTTCGGATCACCAGGCCCTCCCTGATTAAGATTTCCTAGACTGCACCCAATGTAATTTTCCTATGTGCTACTGCAGGACATTGTGTTCATGTTGGTTAGATAGAAGGATCCTGGATAAAAATCTAAGTGGAACTGGAACATGCTTCAACATCGACAACTCAGCTGAAAATCAGATCCTCATATACAGAGGAGAGCTAACACCTGTCCATTCATGCCAGACGGGACACATGGTGGGCTGTTGCTAATTCTTTTCCTCTAATTCCCTTTCTCATGGCCCTGAGCCCACTGCTAAATGCAGAGACGAATTTATTTTTGCCAGAGTCTCTTACCCTTCCAAGGCATGTGTGAAAGTGGCCTCTCTCCAATGCTGGGGGCATGTAGCTGGGCTGAAGTAACAGACCCTTGGCAGGCAATTGAGCATCCACGTTCCTCAGCCCAGCTGTTATTGCCTGACTTTCCCAGTTGACTATCAGGGCCATATATTTTGAGTCTTTAGTAGAGGAGATGGCAAATGATATGTGGCCAGGGTCCTTCATTTTGGAATCAGTATGAATACTTCTTAAGCGTGAGATAAGACAGCTTCCATGAGGTGGTGAAAAGCAAAAGGAAAGCACATCTATACAAAAGCCAACGTACAGCCAACTGGTCTCGGGATCCACTTCCCCACACAACCATCTGCAACCATCTGTACAAGTTATAGAAGCTGCAATCCCCACAAGCATCTTCAAGCAAGTGTTTCAAAAGTTAATGTAGAAGAAAAAGGATTGCACCATGCCAGAATTAACATCCTTCATAAATAAAACGTTCTTACAAATTCATACAATTAAAACCCAACAGAATATTAGGCAAAGGATATGAAGAAGTAATTTACAAAAGAAACACAAACAGCACTTATCTCCTTCCTAAAATCCTAATAAAATGAAAGCAGGGAAAAACTTGAAAGGACAAGAGGACTGGAAAAGAGCTTACAAGAGAGCAAATGTGACAACAAACTTTTGAAGATGGGAAGCTGTCATGAACATGTAACTGACAGAAGTGTGAGTGTCCTCTATTCAGCTGAGTCTCAGGAGGAGCTCACAAAAAGGACATCAAGGCCCACTGTGAATCCCCAGAACACTCTAAGGAGAAATTGTGTCTCCAAAGACAGGGATGTGGGAGAGGGGCTGCAAAAAAAATGACTGAAAGTCTGAATTAGGAGCAGCTGGACACCTAGATCCGCTCCATTAAGGGCTGCACAACCAGGGAACTGGCCTGCCCTCTCCCCAGCAGAAGCCAGGATAGGCCTGACTGTAAGCCCTGGACTGGATGACACCCAGCACAGGTGTGAACAGGTGCCTCACTGACAGCCTGGTTCTATACAGTGGGGCCTCCAACCCCTTGTCGCTCCTGGCTCCCAAGATATCACCTGCCCCACCCAACAACAGATCAGACATCACTGCCCTCAGTGAGGTCCACCATTCAATGTGCCCCTCCACCCACACAGGCATAAGGTCAGCTTTTAGAACCTCACTTTTAAATGTGAATGGATATTTCAGGAAGGCCTCTTACTTGAAAAAGAGAATTTTTCCTCTTCACTCAAATAGGCCAGATACCCTCTAACCTCACAAAAATATGAACATTAATATAAATATTTAAAATGCTTTGTCTTCACTAAAAGATACTATACAAATCTTCTGGCTGACATACATACTAAACTACCTTAAAAAGTGACGTCCACCAGGCGCGGTGGCTCACACCTGTAATCCCAACACTTTGGGAAGCTGAGACGGGCGGATCAGGAGATCAAGACCATCGTGGCCAACATGGTGAAACCCCATCTCTACTAAAAATACAAAAATTAGCTAGGCATGGCAGCAGGCGCCTGTAATCCCAGCTACTCAGGAGGCTGAGGTAGGAGAATTGCCTGAACCTGGTAGGCGGAGGCTATAGTGAGCCGAGATGGTGCCACTGCACTCCAGCCTGGGCGACACAGAAAGATTCTAACTCAAAAAAAAAAAAAAAGTTATGTCCATATTATGCAAACTTATTTTCATCCTAAATACATGTGGACAGAATGATATAAAAGTTCTTTTGCTACAATCACAGAGTAGAATGTTAGCTATAGAGCAGAGAGAGTAGGAAAAGTCAGTGCTTCCACAGTGCTGTGCTAAGTCAGGCATCTCTAAGCGGAGCTTGAAGGGCAGCGTGAGCCCATTCACTTCCAAGGTCAAATCTGATCTGGGCTCAGCTGTGTACATGTGGCATAGCTGCTTTTCTTGCACAGAATGTCTCAGGCCCTCCAGGCACACAATAGAGAATAGCAATTAAGAGAGCAAACTCCAGAGTCAGACAGCCTTGTAAGTGAGAAGCACAGCTGTACTATTTACTTCCTGGCCATGGTACAGTACAGCAAGTCACTAAATCTCCATTAAGTGTTAATTCCTCTATCCAAAAATGGGTATAATGCATATAAAGTTGAAGTGATCATTAAATGATCAATTGGTGATGGGATGGTGGCAGGAGATTCTTATGCTATAATAGTACCTTGTACGGTTAAATACACAAAATTAATCACTCAATAAATACTAGCTACTACTGCCATCCTAGTAACTGACATAAGATAATCTGGATTCAAATCCAAGCTCTGCAACATATTAGCAAATTACTTAACCTTTCTGAGCCTCAGTTTCCCATCCACAAAATGAAGGGAATGATACCTATAATAAGAATGCAGGCCGGGCATGGTGGCTCCCAGCACTTTGGGAGGCTGAGGAAGGCAGATCACTTGATGTCAGGAGTTCGAGATCAGCCTGGGCAACACGGTGAAACCCAGTCTCTACTAAAAATACAAAACTTAGCCAGGAGTCCCAGCTACTAGGGAGGCTGAGGCATGAGAATTGCTTGAACCTGGGAGGCAGAGGTTGCAGTGAGCCGAGATCATACCACTGCACTCCAGCCTGGGCGATAGAGCAAAACCTTGTCTCAAAAAAAAAAAAAAAAAAAAAAGAATATAAACCAACTGCAGACAAAGAAAGCCCAGACCCAGATGACTTCACTGCTAAAGTCTATGAAACATTTTAAAAATACCAATTACTCACAAATTTTTTCCAAAGATAGAGAAGGGAACACTTCCAAACTAATTGTATGAGGCCAGTATTATCTTGTTACCAAAACCAAACAAAGACATCTCAAGAAAATTACAGACCAATATCTCTTATGAATACAGATGGAAAAAATCCTCAACAATACCAGCAAACCAAATCAAGCAACGTAGAAAAAGAATTAGAATTATACACCACAATCAAGTGGGATTTATCCTAGAAATGCAAGGTTGGGTCAACATCTGAAAATCAATTAATGTAACACATTATATCAATAGAAGAAAAAAAATCACACAATTATCTCAGACACAGAAAAAGCATTTGAGGCTGGGCACAGAGGCTTATGCCTGTAATCCCAACACTTTGGGAGGCTGAGGCAGGGGATCACTTGAGGTCAGGAGTTCAAGATCAGCTTGCTCAACATGGTGAAACCCTGTCTCTACTAAAAATATAGAAATTAGCCAGGTATGGTGGTGAGCACCTGTAATCCCAGCTACTCAGGAGGCAGAGGCAGGAGAATTGCTTGAACCCGGGAAATAGAGGTTGCAGTAAGCTGAGACAGTGCCATGGCACTCCAGCCTGGGCAAGAGTGAGACTCTGAATCAAAAAAAAAAAAAAAAAAAGGCATTTGACAAAATTAAATACCCTTTCATGACAAAACACTCAAGAAACTAGGAATAGAAGGGAATTTCCTCAACCTGATAATGAGCATCCATGAAAATACCACAGCTAACTCAATATTCAATGGCGAAAGATGCCTTCTCCCTGAGATCAAGAA